CAGAGGCCACATGAAAAATCCTCTGCCCGTCGGGGATCAAAACCCGGTCATCCAGTCCGCAGCCAGTCACTATAATGACTGAGCTATGCCGGCTCAACTTATTGATGTAAGTGGCTAAATCCAAAATAAGCAGCCAATGAGCAGTTAACAAAGTATGCAGTACTGTCTTCTGTTTCTTCTTTTATTAATTCTCTTAACATTTAGGTAGCCATCCACAAGTACTACTCAGTGACGTAAGAGCGACAGGAAAATCAAAAACTCAGCCTGAAAGAGCTACACACTAAATAAACCAGACTGCATATAAGAGTCGTGTATACAAAAGTTCTAAAGCATGCACAGAGGAGCCAGTTCAAGTCATATAAATGTATCTTTATGCTGCAGAACCCAATATACCTTATATATATCTTTCTTCTCAAGGATGTGTCTCTTTAAATGGGTGCGCAAGGGGTGCCAAAAGAGTTGTCGGCCAACAAGAGCTCGAGACACGGCATGGACCAAGCAATGGCCATCAGCATCAGCATGTATTGGGACCAGCGCTTTCCTGTCACAAAGAAAGATCACAGCTGTCAGAAGTCAGGAATGGGCACAAAATTAATGATAATTCAATGAGATAAATTGTTTACATACGGTTATTTATACTGTAAAAATATCAAGCAATATTCTCCATTCCTCAAATTTTACACCTTCAATTCACCTTCACCTGTCCATTCAATTTTATTAACAAATTACAATTACATTTGTAAAATGTGACATTAATAAAATCTTCTCTGGCCATCAATCATCGCACGGATGATCGCCCAAGAAGAAATTATTGATGTTCTTCGCCATGAAATCTTTAGATCATACAAAGATGTTAATGTTGGCATTGTATGAGTACTTGTAGGTAGAAATGTCCGAGACCGCACAGCAATGCGACCCAGAAGACCAACAACAATATACTACTACAACCAACTGCCATGCGTAGGTATATTCAACACAAAATTTCCTTCAATCCTAAAAGAAGACTTTTCAAGTATGGACTTTGACGTCATGGCAGTCCGAACTGTCCAGTGTGGACCAAGAGTCTATCACACCAACAGTTTCATATGGGCAACAAGCATTACATTTCAAAAACATTACAGACATTTCTTACATTGGGATAGACAGTGACAATTAGTGAATGTTGGAACTATAAAACCATACCAAACACATGTTTAAAATTGTTAGCATATCCTTACTACAAAATATTCAGTGTTGAAAGCTAAAATACAAGCATGCAGAACATGGAATAACATCAAAAATAACAACAACAAAAAGTTGTCAGTGGAACGACGGTTCCGGAGAATTTGACGTAAATACGTCTATACGGAAAGGAAGTTTATATATTGGCTTTATTCTAAATATTTCCTTTATATATGTTTTACAATTGCGTAAAGTTTGATTAAGACTTTGCTTATTCAACTTGAATTAGTTACGCTTAAGATGGGTCTGTGGTAGAAGAATGTAATGTAAGGTAAGGTAATGAAATGTTTTATAGGTAACAACAATGCCGAGTAAATAGATGTTCCTTAGGTAACCATTATTGTCGATTTGTTGATAAACAGATGAAGTTTCCTAGGTAACCATTGTTGTTTATTTGTTGATAAACAGATGACGTTTCCTAGGTAACAATGAAGTTACACTTTTTCGTAACACATTTTTGCCAAATGACACTGACCCTAAAATACAGACGTATTTACGTCAAAAAAGGATTTTTTAAAAACAACATTCACAATTTTAGACTGTATATTAAATACATTTATTCCTTGTAAGATTTGAGGTTTTCACGACAATGAGTTTGAAGATGGCTGTCTTCTGGGTTGTTGCGCCGCGTAGTCTGGTAGACGTCCACCAACGTTTCAGAAGTCCTTGCTGCTTCCATTATTGACCTGATGATGGAGGCAGCAAGGACCTCTCAAACGTCAATAAACTTCTACCAGACTACACGGAGCAACAAACCAGAAGACAGCCATCTTCATATTTATTCCCTGCCAAGTGCTTTGAATTTTGATATAACGCCTCACTTACCTATCCCCATTGGCCTCTTCAATGCACCTCAGAGTTTCTGCTAAGTAGTCAAGACTCCCGGACTGATCTCGTCCATAACCAAGAATATCAAGATGTTCAGCACAGATTAAGAAGCTGCGGTCACTTAGAATACTACAATCAAATGTCGGTCTGCAAGCAATACATAGCAACTCTTCCTTAGACTTTGCTAAATAACCTAACCTAACCTAACCTAACCTAAAAATAGCTAAAAACCCTACTGTCTCACATACAAGTAACCTCCTCGGAAAATGAGAATGCATATTTGTCTGAAAGGAACAGTTACCAAGGTTAATAATTTGGAAAGCTCCTACACATTGAGACAGTCAAAACTGCATGCAAGAAATACAATCGTAACACCTCACAGGACTAATCCCATAATACAAACACATGTTATACTGTACTTACTTGTTTGTCAATTCTAACAGTGGTTTCGCTTTTTGGGTATTCTTATCCATTCCATGGTAGGTAAGCAATGGTGACAACAGCTTACAATGGTAATTTGATAAACCATCTATTTTTACCTGCGTAAGTCACAAAAAATTATATATACATATACAAACAATGACGTCAGAGATATCATAAAGATGATAATATGACCTCCTGCGAAAATAACAACAATCACATTATTAACCTTGTGTTTCTTTTCTGCAGAACAGACTAAATGCAGAGTATGTGAAGATTTCGCAACACGCCACTAAGACGAGATCAATACCAAATTTAAACGCTTGCATGAGTGAGTTGAATCTAAGCCTGTTTGTGCCTGTATAAAATCAGAGGTCAACTGATGTTTAAACTCTTAATTCCAACACGGCAGATGAACTGTGGGGAAAAAGATGTGATGCCATTTCCTTAAACACCTTCTTATATATCGCATGACAATTAAAACAAATTTAAACTGCCTGATTTTAGACTGGCGATGGATGGGAAAACAGTCTAATTTACATGGTTTGGTCCCAAGCTGTATATGACCATTGCTTCTCCTTCTTGCTTAAATCATTAAACAAATGTCACCTAACGTAAATGATGAAATGGAAGGAACAGTGAACTTTCTTCACAGAATGTTTGTAAAGAAGGTTTATGTTCTAGTTTTGACTCCTGAAGCTGCCACTTCATAATGGCATGTAAAATAAAACTCACCAAAACAGCACTCTTCTTCATGTTTGCATTTGTTGCTAGGAGGAGGCTTCGCAGAACATTTTTGACACCCAGTGCCTGTTCTCGCATCTGTCTGACATCTTTAACTTCAGATGCCTTACGGCGCTGTCCGCAGCCATGGCAGTCAACAATCTTATCCTTTGATGGAAAGATAAGAACAGCATTGCACCCATCATCGGGGCATGTCGCTATGAAAACCGGTACCGCAGCCATTATTACCTAACAATTCAGAACAAAATACTTTCAGCAATAAACACATTTTACAGGCAACTGTATTTTAATGTAAAATATAATAATATTTTAAATTTGACATAAATGCACAATCTGATGGCTGCCGGTGATTTAGTGTGTTATCACGGCAGCAAAAAAAAATGGAGTGCACATCACAAGAAGTAAAACAAAACCATCTTTCTTTCAAGCTACTTTTACTCAAGAACCACATTAAGATTATTCATATTTCTTGCTATCTATCTGTCAGAACAATAAGACAATATTAACAATGTTTCATTGAGTTGTCCATATTTACAATATTGTGACCAATCACAACCAGCTCTGAACTCTAAATTTAATTTCTGGTTCTAATCCTAACACAGAACTGCAACTAACATAATCACCTTAAATTGTTACTGGATTTAGAGTTTAATTATCAACATCTAATTTACTGAATGCAACTGGTAACAGTTTATTAAAGTTATAACAAATATCCTTTGTTTACATGATCGTATTACGCCACAGTAATTGCATATGTGGCCAAGAAAATAAAATTGCTTGATTTTATACAAAGAAAAGCTCAAGAAAACATTACATGAATTCAAATACTGATCACAAAACAATCCCGAGGCACGGGGAATCGTACAGGAGACAATGAACTGTGACACGACACTTTTTGCAACCGTGAATACGAAACACAAGAGGTTATAAACTTTCCATGACGACCCCATTTGTAAACTTCATGTCCGAATCTACTACCTCTGAAACAAATTCAGATGAATCTTATAATTGTGTACGGCAAATATGACTTTTCTGGCAGGTATTTTACGAGACAATTTTCAACCCTCGTCACAGAACTGTGGAAATTTTGAATCATTCCAGAAATACTTCGCATCTTCATGTGTTTTAAACGTCATTAGAACCGTGTACTTATCAAGAAAAGCGTTAGACATGAGAATTCCGACCGAAAATCTTCGACACATTCACTGCACACTACACTATATGTAACGTAAACATAAAATTTGATACGAACAATCTTTTTCAAATACTAACCCATTTACAAATTTCTTTACATGAGAGCAGGATCCATTACTAAAGATCTGCAAATCCAATATTATAGGTCAACGTAGAAACCCGTGCGTATCGTTCTGCCACCTATGTATCGTTCCTTAGCAAACTAAACGCTGATATTTGTGGCATACGCAGTAGCCCAGTCAGTAAGAAGGGTAACTACATTCCAACATTAAAAATTCCTCCTTCAGTTTTCGCCAAACTCCTCAAGAATTTTCAAAACGGTTTCAATTTTAACGACTCTTCCATGAGTGACCCATCCCTATGTGAAGCAAAAGATGGCATTCCATCTCATTCATGACAACTGCTCAGCAAAGAATCATACAATAATTTTCATAAATAGATGTAGAAATAATATAAACTCCAAAAAAATTGACAGTGGAACCACGGTTCCGGAGAATCTGACGTAAATACGTCTCTGTATTTAAATTATATTTAAGCAATAAATACAATGAAAGGAAGTTTATATATTAGTGGTAGCTGAATGTAATGTAATAATTCTTACTTGTGATATTCTAAAACGTTTTTACCAGCACAAAATTATCTACTCTATGACGCACTTCTTCTACAAGCGATTCACAGCTCAGCTCTTTCCGCAATAACGAAAGCGGATTGTCGACGTTTCCTAAGTAATAACAATGCCGAGTGAACACGACGTTCTCTAGGTAACCATTGTCGTCGATTTGTTGATACGGATCTTACACATTTTCCTTTCACTTTTTTGCCGAATGACCCTTCCGTATAGACGTATTTACGTCAAAAAAATTATATTTGACAACAGAAATGTTTCTGACAATATCAGAAGTTATATATTCATATATGTGTTAACTTTACTTTGACTACCTTTTTACAAGTATAATATTATGGGATCATTACAGGCTGAAAAATATGATCCATCATCTTATGAAAGTTTCTCTAAATCAGAATACTGTTGTGAAAACTAGGTAACTCTGCTCTCATTCAAGTGAAGTCGTGAATTCGACAGGGATGGGTAAATGGACTTGTGGCTATGCAGTTACAGGAAAGTTTACATTTAGGGGAAGTAACAACTGATAAATGTGGTCTTGTAAGATAGTGTATGAAGCATGTTTGTTTGGTTTTATTTCAGTAGTTCTTATTTTCACATATAATAACCATCATTTAAAAAACATAACCCTTAAGTGTATAGTACACACACGCCCAGAAATACATACGTCAGGGTGTTATGTTTTTGAAACACATTGTCGCATTACAGGAGTTTCTGCTAACTTAACACTGGAAGAATATTTCTTAAAATTTGTCCGACTGAAATAAATACGAAAGACGAAGCCATGATGCAAGCAAAATATAAATGAACAAAGAAACTGTACCACTGCCCAAAGTGGGTTAATTTTAAGTTCAGTCCTAGGCAAAAATAACATTCTGCCTTGTATTATACTGCCAGAGTTATTTCAAAAACACATCAGTGTAAACATCGATTATTTCCGTAAACATCATTGGTTAGATGATTTCCGTCTTCTGGGTTGTTGCGCTGTGTAGTCTGGTCGATGTTAACCAACGTTTCAGAGGTCATACTGCCTCCGTCATCATCGACCAGACTACACAGCGCAATAACCCAGAAGACAGAAATCTACATTATAAAGTGTTGGAAGTATATGATTCCTTTAATGTCAGTAGGTCTTTAGATGGCTTTCAATATCAACTGAAAGTAAAATGCGAATCAACATAGTTTAGTACAATTAACTCATCCTTCAGTAACATAAACAGATATGTCAAATCAAACACCCTGAATGCATTTACTATTTGCAAGATCTGGAAGACAAACTGATATGAAGCTAAGACACTTTACTTATGATCAGAGAAATATTTTCATACTACCTTTGAAACTTATTAAAAAGACTATTAAAATACTGGAATGTTGTATACCATACAGCTGTTATGCTCAGCTATTATAAATACATGTAAGCAATAGAGGTTATGATTTCTTGAGTAATTACTTTCATGGTAATAACGTGGTCGACTGTAAGTTACCGTCGTAACTACGTAATTTATATTCGTATTACGAAAAAGTATCGTATTTGTGCTCTGACAAGTTCTACATCCTTAGCTTGGGCCTATGGAATGTAAATAAATTCTATTCCATTCTGTCTGACCACTGTCATTATTGGAAAATGTATTTTGTGCAACGCCATGACAAACTTTTCAATGAAAGATCACAAGTCAATCATTGCTGTTCAAACCTCCATTTATTCTACGTACATAACAAAAAAAAAAAGGTGGCCATAGTGATAAGCATCAAGTGTTCCATAATTACACTATTTTTAATTATGAATTTGTAAATAATAAGCAAAAACAATCACAGGTTGGTAAACCAATTGGACAATACACATAAATACGTAACTTTTACTGACCATGGACATCTTGCCTTATGCACGGTCCAGCTGGCTATGCATTGCAGTCGAATGCTGCCAAAGCATTAACCTAGAGATAAAGTCTGGCCAGCAGCCCTGTTCAAATCCAATATCTAATAGCTCATTAACTTCCTTAATAAGTTACAAGTGAGCCTCCTCCCCAAACTATATATACTCTACTGTACTCTGTTAACAATTTAAAGATTACAATAGCAAAACGTGGACATTGTTACAAACATTTAAATGAATGGAAGAAGTGTTACTGTTTTCCAAGCCAGCAAGAAAATTATTGTGAAAATATCAATTATAACACCAAACAAATTGCTTTCAATTTTTATCACCACAAGTAATCAATCACCAATGATCAATAGTGCTTCTGGCAAAAGTGGCACACAAACATCATACTTGCCGACAATCAAGAAGTCTAAAAATACAATATTTTACATATTAACACATTTCATTGATCAATATTTAAAGTTCTCTGTGTCGCCATGTCATGATAGAAACAGGTCCACATTTTGAATCCAATAATTTCTTTCAATGATTACACACATACCACCATGAAAAAGCACGTACAATGCATCAACACTTTCACGTCCTTCACAAAAACTGTCACCTCTTCACCGCCCATCAGCGTAACCAACAGTTTTTCAGGATTATATCAATCAATTCATTATTGTCCCAAAAAATTACACTACCATAATCACCAAAACCAGTAACTGTACATAATGCCAACATGAGCAGTTGAATGAATTCTTCCGAGTACCAACATGCAAATGACATGTTAAATGTCCTTATACCCAACTACATGTTAACAGAAATGTAGCGTAGCCATACTGAATACTGATAAGCTGTATGCCATATTAAAGAATAATGACTAGCAATGAAAGAGTGGTGGGACAAAAATACTGTATATCTGCACTAGATGCTACGCCAGGTCACTAAAGAGGTCAGAATGTATGTACAAATCACGATATTCCTTCTATTGTGCATAAATGACATCTAACAGCAGAATGCTCTACTCCACTGCACTACAGGAACTGTTCTTTCATCCTAATGTTCTACACTTAATTATTTTTACTACTCAACAGTCCTTAAAATTTATACACAAAAATTAATCCAGTTTGTATAAAAATTAATTATATGCTCTGGCACATTTACTATAACAATATCGTTTAACACGCGTGGCGTACGTTTAAGTACATTTACAAAAATTCAACAAATGGCAAGGTATTAATTACATGAAACACTGCCTTTAACAGACATCTGGTAATACTACTACACTTTCGTTACTACAGATTCCTATAGCAGCCATTAAACAAGAGTAAACCTATCCTCTGACTCGTGACCAGAAGCGGCAGA